ATTTTAATGTTTTTCACAAAGCACTCCGTCACTTCATACAAAATTAATTACATTTGCGTGCATCCATTCATACGCCACTCGGATACTTTGTCAGTAACAAACATGGCTAGCAGCGTTGCGAAGAAAATTATCACGTCTTAAAAACAGGCCGCGACCACTTCTTTCTTTCTTTGTCCAAGCCACGGGTCGTAGATACATGGATCACTCTTGAGCGATGCTGTACTGAATCCGCCCTGGATGAGACCCGCGTTCAGAAGCCATGGGATTCCGTTATAACAGGTTTCTGCATCCTCTGCACGCCGGTGCGTTTATTCTATGTTAATTTGATTCGAACTGTCTCTTTTATTAAACCACACATGCTGCTTTTTAAATGAGGTATGCGATATATATCGAAAGTTCACTCACCTCTCACGTGAAAATACTTGTCACTGTGGTAGATTTATTTCAGTGACACGTCTGTGGAACAACTCGCCTTGATGACGTCAGAGATTCCAGTGAGGATTTTGGGAATTAACGTCTGGCGGATTAAAGTCCTATTTTATGTTGATAGAGAGCCCGGCTGGCTTCGGCTCTCCGGACGACAGTAGTTTCTGCTGGTAGTTGTCGTCGCCATGGTAACGGGAGGGAGAGCTGTGTTGATGCTCCAGTAAATCTGGTCGCTTGATTATTCGAGACGAACCTCGTGGATTGGCTTTACTTGGGATGCATATCCGGCATCTCACGCGTGACGTAATTTCCTGTTTTGGAAATCCTAATTTCATGTCCGTGCCTGTGACGTTAATTTTTTTAGGATTTGCGTGGGGGTGTCGTGACTGTGCCTTGGTAAAGGGCTTTCCTTTAGCAGTTCGTACACTTGCTTTGCCTATCAAGTAATTTCCTGTGGTTTTTATGAAACGCGGAGGTTCTTATCATATCCGCGAGAACAGAGCAGTGGATCCAATTATCTGTCTGTCTTCCTCATACCCCATGCACTTATTTATAATTCCTGGTTTGTTCATTGCCCTCTGCCCAAGTACTGTATGACCGAATCAAGATTTATTCGACTATCTAGTATTTAATATTTTAATATTTTCCGTCAAATCACAATTTTTAATAAGATAATAAAATATAAAATATTTAAAATATCATTGGAACGTTCCAATTTGTAAATCGATCATTCGATGCCGAACGTGAAATGATATTTTAAATATTTTATATTTTATTATCTTATTAAAAATTGTGATTTGACGGAAAATATTAAAATATTAACCTAATTCACAATATGACGCAAATATACTACCTTATCGACTATCTAGAATCGTTTCTGCAAGAGTCCGCCACTAAATACGTATGGACTTTAAAGCTTTAAGCATTCATTTCTGCTCAGTGGGTCCCTATTTTTCCTCCCGTCTCGCTCTGTCTCTGGCCCAGTATTTTGTTCGTGAATCTTTACCCGGGAGTTACGAGTAGTTACAGAACGCGAGTGGAGGCAGAAGGCTGAGCGACATGAATCTTTCTTTCCACTTGTCGGTGTGCTAACTGCTTGCTTAATTACTGTCGGAAAGTAGCATCGCGCGGAGGGGTACAGGTACAGTCTGTGCTGAACACGCTGTAGCCTATCCTGTCACTCACAGAAGCGACTTGACGTTACTACACTGAGGGTCGCTACTATAAATCGGCGCTGGGGGAACTCTACAAAAACTTTTGATTTCAAGAGTACCCAGTTCAGATCTGGGCTTGGCTACCAATTACGACTTTTCGTCGTCTGCTTCAGTCTCGCCAAGCCGCCTTTATAATCGTCAGTTTTGGTTTTGCTTTGCACATTTTTATTACGTTTGCCATTTAAAGTGACGGGGTTCATCAGCTGTCACACAAAGTATAAAAATGGGTTTCATATGATTGCTCTACGTTATGGACTTTAAATTAAAGAGTGTTACCCAGTTAATTATAGCCACGGTGGTCTAGCGGTTAGAACGCTGGCCTTGTAATCCTGGGGTCTCGGGTTCGATTCCCGGCGGTGCCCGAATTTATAACTTGTGTTGGGCAAGGCCGTGGTCTAGGCAACACGGAGTTTTCCTCCGTGGCATCCCAACCATTACTCCATTCACACACAGAAGAAGGCAATGGCAAACCACTTCTGGATCATCTGCCAAGAACGTATATGAACAGGTCCCAGTCCGAGAAAAGGATGGAAGGATGCTGTTCATATGGACCTGTCGTCAGATAGAACACTAAATAAATAAAATAATACCCAGTTAATTGTCATCCAGACGTTATGTTTTCTTTAAGGTACGGACTAAATTGTTTAAATCGTATTGAGATTAACTTGTTTTCTTTGCTAGAAGGACAAGCGGGCACTGCCTGGGAACCTTCATTTACGAAAATCGTTACCCCCTCTCCTGTTAAATACACAGTGGCGCCTCTGATTAATGTGTGTCTGTTTTCTCTTTTCTGTTGATTTTGATGCTTCAGAGATTCAAGCGAGTAAAACCGAGGATAATGGATCTTTTTCTGTGGGACTGTGGAGTCATCTAACGGCTTCTGTAGTAATTTGTGGTTTTGTCAGTGGTGGCGAACGATGATGAAGTGATGATTTCATCACGTGGCTTCCGTGCTGTTTGTCTCGGCTGTAAAACGCCTGCCTCACATTTGAGAGGATCTGGGTTCGATGCTCTGCCGTATCTGTGCCAGTAGCGACTAATTTTAACATTGATGATAACTATCACAGACTTCGTGCGAATATTGGATCACATCTTTAAATAGCCCCGTACAGCGTGATTCAAAATCATTTAGTACGGTCTACTCATCATATATATGACTCTGTTTAACCTCTTCAGTTGGAGCAGCGCTGTTAAATTACTCGGAAATTAAACTGTGACTTTAAAGACGTTAATTAGAAACACATTTTGCGCATTCCTAGTTGTTTATGTGCCATGTCTCGAAACATTATATCGTATTTGATTTGAGCCGATTTGTTTTGGGAATCTGGAATAAAAATAGTTCGTATAAATTCCATGACGGATTCACTTCGTGCATGTGGCGGTTGTTTCCTGTGGGTTGGGAGGGGGGGACACTTTAGTAGGGGAAGGAAACGCTTGTGGTCGCCCACTTCCTATTTGCTGATGATGTTTCGTCCGTAAATAACAGCAGCAGCG